AGCCGGGGTTGGGGTGACGGTGGTGGAGGGACCCGGACACGCCGCCAACGGGGGTCGGCGGCGACCTGCCGGCACGCCGGGGAAAGCCAGCCAGCTTCCCGGGGCAGCGGGGCTGGCAGCCCTGCCCGGGCAGGAGGACACAAAAGTGGGAAAGAAAGAAACTTCCTCCGAGAACCACTTCGTCCTTATTAGCAAAGAGGGGATAAAACCCGGCAGCCCAGCAGTCCCGTATCTTGGATCCGACTCTGCGGGGAACTTCACAAAGAGCCAAGAAAAGCACAAAGAGCGGCAGCTCGCTAACGAAAAAGGCAACGGTGCCCGTACTGCGAACGCCATCACCGGGACTGCGGCGCCGGGTGGCCGGAGCCGGACGCTGGGTACCACGCAAGGAGCAGCTCCCAGGGCACCTGTCGCCGGGAAGGACGGGCAGGAGGAGGCAGGCGGGAGCAGGCTGGGAATGCACAGGGTCTTGTCCGTGGATGCAACGCTTGCCCCGAGAGACCCCCAAGCTCCCGGCCAGTTTGGGCACCCTGTTGCAGTCCCTGACGATAAACAAGAAGAAGCAAAAAGTAGATGGAAAGAAGGAAACTTTAACGTCTACCTCAGCGATTTGATCCCTGTAGACCGAGCCATAGCGGACACCAGGCCTGCCGGGTAAGATCTGCTTCCCCTGCACAAATACCTGCGCCGCGCCCCTCGGAACCTGCTTGGTGGCTCCTGGGCAGAGCTGCTGGGCACACCGAGGCCTTTGCTTCATGCATGCTAGCCGTGAGATGGCTTTTGCCTTTCCAGGTAAGAGTTATTAAACGTAAAACTGAGTAAATTTGCAGATCGTCTTATCCCGCTAAGTTCTGCTGTCCAAAGAGGCTGGGGCACACGAGGCAGGCAATGGGGCTCATTTTACCTGGTTTATCAGGTGTAGCACCGAGCACTGTTTGGTTTTGATATTCATGCATTTGGTTCCTGGACCACTCCTGCACCCTGTCGATTTGTTTCAGCAGCGGAAGCCCTCCCTGCCCCAGAGGTGCTCTCACACCTGCAAGCTGCCGCTGCACTTCCCTCGAGGCAGAGGCACCCCGATGGCCTCTCCTGGCCGGAGGGCCTGCTGGGGCTCCGAAAGGCTCCGCAGGAGACAAAGCCATGTCCTGAGCGCTGACGTGATTATACAGCATGTGCCAGCCTGCAGTCGAGGCGGTCCAGGGGATGCCCCCAGGAGCGCTTCTTTCTGCAGGCCAGTGGCACCGCTCCCCTTGTGCTGCGGAGCACTGCGGTCGGTACCCACTCGGAGGACTCGGATCTATGGGCACACATGGGGAGGGACGCGGAGTTCTGATCTGGAAAACCGTGGTTCGGTTACAGCTGTCCTCACGAAATGTGCAGCCGATTCTGCAAATCTCAGTACTGCACTTCAAAAAAGACACACACGCACACCGGGGTCCCCATAGAAAGGTAAAGGGTAAGGTGTGGGCAGCGCCTTGCGAATGGAAGGGGTAAGGGGCTGGAGGGTCTCCCTCTCCTGAGCTGCTGTGCCTGGACAGATGCAGGGAGGGTCGAGGGAAGGTGCCAGTTCAGGTGAATGACAAGTTCGTCTTACACTTGGCTTTTCCTGCTGCAAACGTCTCTCAGCCCCTTGGCAGATGAGAGACCTGCCTCATGCAGAGACCCTCCCATGACCCTCTTCCCACACTCGCAGACCATGGGTACGGTGGAATGGGAGTTGTGCTGTGAGTTGTCTCCTGTCCCACAGGACAATACACAGACGTTCCCGCGGCACTGTTGGTGCTCGCCTGGGAGCCGAGGTGAGGTCCCTCACGGGAAGGAATGGGGCAGGGAAGGAGGGAGACGACTAGGACTGCTTTCTGGCAGGCAGAAGATGCCAGCTACAGAAGCCACCTGTGCACAGAAAAAGAAGCATGGCAGCTCAAAGCCAGCACTGTGTTTTGGCCTTTGACAGCAAAGCCCTGGAGCTGTGGAGCAGAAACCCACCTCCCAGGAGCACCCATAAGCACAGCCCGCCTGCCTCTGGTGAATCACGCACCTGCCCGGGAGGAGACGGCATTGCTGTTTGGGCACCACGGGCAACGCCTTGGCCAAACAGGGGTGCATCCCTGATGGTGCTGCCTGGGCACGTGTGCTGCCGTGCTGGGGCACAGGGCCACAGGGAGCTCCCCTGGGCATTCCGGCACTGGCGGGAGCCTGTGCAGGCTCTGCCCTCAGCCTGCTGGCACGGCAGAAATCAAGTCATAAGGGCCAGCTCACGGCAACAGCTGTTGGCAGCTCTTGGTGATCAGACGGCACGTTACTTTTTTCCTGGATCCTTCTGGTCTCTCCCAGCTTAGACCACAGTTCCTCTCTCGATCCTTGCTGGAGTACTGGACTAGACCTCTGAAATTGGGCCAACAGGAAACTTGTTCTGTGGCAGCCTTCAGTCTGCCTGTCCGAGTGCAACGCTTCCTGCTTTCTGAGCTTTACTCACCACGCTGGAGCTTGCCGAGCACCGCGCCTCTGCAGAAGTGCGTGCAGGAAGAGTTCCACCAAGGAGGAGCGAGATGCAGGAGCCACACAGCTGAAGGCGGGGGGTGGCCAGGAGGCTTGCAGGGAGCGCTCCCTGCAGAGCCCGGTTCAGGAGCCCTGGACCCCGTTTCAGCCCAAGACTGCAGCGCCGGCAGCGAAGGTCCCTGCCTCTGACCTCTCCCCAGGCTACCATCGTAGCTTCTCTGGGACAATCAAGCTATCCAGGTGTAGACAGGGACCCAGATTTCCTGGTCTGGCAAAAAAAATGTCGCATGCTGCATGGCACGGTAGGTTCTGGGTAAGTTACCAACCGTGCCGGCAGGCGTGGGGAGGGACCACCGCTGCGCCTGCCAGCTGGGAGAGGACAGGGCTGGGCACCCCTGCGGCTCAGGTCTTCAGTGCCAGGCTGCTTCCAAACTCGGGGACAGCAGATCTAAGGTGACGTTTTCCCAAAGCAATTTTAGCAACTTAAGAGCCTACATTTTGCTGAGTTTCAGGGTGATGTCAGCAGAACATAAAGGCTGGGGGCTATTTTTGTTTAAAATTCTGTTTAGGGGTGGAATTTCAAAATTATTTGACTTCTACTTAACACTGATTATGTATATTAAGTATTATATATGTATATATGTATAAAATATATATGTATGTACATATATGTATATAGTTAGCTGTCATGGTTTAACCCCAGCCAGCAACTCAGCCCCACCCAGCCGCTCGTTCACTCCCCTCCAGTGGGATGGGGGGAAGAATCGGAAGGGTAAAAGTGAGAAAACTTGTAGGTTGAGATAAAGACAGTACAGTTTAATAGGCAAAGCAAAAGCCGCGCACGCAAGCAAAGCAAAACAAGGAATTCATTCACTCCTTCCCATGGGCAGGCAGGTGTTCAGCCATCTCCAGGAAAGCAGGGCTCCATCACGTGTGACGGTGACTTGGGAAGACAAACACCATCGCTCTGAACGTCCCCCCTCTTCCTCCTCCTTCCCCCAGCTTTATATACTGAGCATGATGCCATATGGTGTGGGATATCCCTTTGGTCAGTTGGGGTCAGCTGTCCCGGCTGTGTCCCCTCCCAGCCTCTTGTGCACCCCCAGCCTGCTCGCTGGTGGGGTGGGGTGAGAGGCAGAAAAGGCCTTGACTCTGTGTCAGCCCTGCTCAGCAATAACAAAAACATCGTTGTGTTATCAACACTGTTTTCAGCACAAATCCAAAACGTAGCCCCATACTTCTTCATAAGAAAATTAACTCTACCCCAGCCAAACCAGCACGTTGGCAAAGAAATGGAGCCCAAACTCACACAGGACATTGTGAAATATCTTTAGCTGGGGGTCAACAATAACAGACCCATTGCTCTGCCTAGAAATCCTACTTCTTTAGGTAAGAAGTGAGAAAAAGATGTTCCTCAGTTTGAGGTTTCCCATCGCCCTCACGCGGACGCTTTCTAGCTGCCCGCAGTACATGCAGGCTTTGGCCAAGAGCCCGTCTGCTGCTAATGAAAAGTCCTCTTAGGAGGTACTGCCTGGCTGCACGCATGGCTTGGGTCTCGGCTGCATTTTCTCAGCAGCTCTCACATCCCTCTCTCCATGCAGTGAAAGCCGTTGTGCTCAGCAGCTGTCTCCTGCTTTTTCCATGGCCTCTGTCCCTCCTCCCTCCATGAGCTCCCTCCTTGGGTTCGCTGTAGGAGCAACTGCAAATTAACTTTTTTTCTCCTAGTTTTGCTGTCCCTTGTTCTGTCTCCTTGCGAGTGACCCCCCCCCAGCAGTTCAGTCCCTGACTTCTCTCCGTCGATCCTGGGAGTCCTGCCGGCGTGCCCGAACCACCCCCCTGTGCTGCAGAGAGGTCCCATCTCCACGGGCCAACACCGTTATGGTTTTCAACCAAACCATATCAAGCAGCACATCATCTCCTGGCTGAGCCAGCCCTGGCTGCTGCCCGAGGTGAACCAGGCTACAGAAGGAGAAGGAAAGACACGTTCCAAGGATTGTGACAGAGAGTAATTCTGGGGTTATTTTCACTTACCCAGAGCACTTCTCATTAGCTGTGAAGTACCTCTGAATTTTCTTCTCTGAGCTGCGCAGTGCCCTGGCATCAGCATTTGAGCTGGCACCAGCCAAACCTGAGGGCCCATTCATTAACACAGAAGAACAAGAAGTCAGTTTTCCGTACGCTCCCATATACCTGTCCCTGTTTTCTGTCTGTTGTTGACAGCAGAGTGAACAGTGTTTTCATCGCCAAGAAATTCATTTTCTGCACCCACAGATAGGCTGGTGCCTGTCCTGCCTGCAGGAGGTCTGCTCTGGAAGGACAAGAGAGAAAAACCTGCTATCAGACTTCAGCTTATTGACAACAGAGAGAAAGCACATCCCAGCAATCCATGGGTATTCTGGGATAAACCGGCCAGTCTGGGGGAGAGGAGCACTCTGCCAGGCGTTATGCAGGCCTGGAGATCCACTCGGAGATAGGAGGGCTGAGGGAGCCCTGCTCCCCAAGGCACGCAGCAAAGCAGTGCTTGAATTGCAAATGGAAGATGAGAAAAGCTGCTCATCGACCTTTTGTTCAAACGCTGAAGACACAGGCCTGACCCAGCCACTGCATTTTTGGCTGTCACAGAATAAAATGACAAACTCATAGACACGGGAGAAATTTTATCACTCCCTCGGGTCCGCCGATGCGTATCGCTGGCTGTTTGCGAGGGAAGCAGGCGCCGCTCGGAGCCCCTGCACGTGGGCTCGGGGCACGGCTGGCCGTGCCGGGGCATCCCTTCGGAGGTGTGGGCACTCGGAGTGTGAGATACGGGGGGCTCAGGGAGCGGACCTGCCAGTAGTGTCGTACATGAAATTTGGATGCTTGAATGTTTTCCCATCCCCCACGATCCCCTGAGTTAGGTGCAGAAGTTGGACTAGGTGACTCTTCCTCGCTGTCTGCATGTTTGACAAGTTGCTGTGCCTAGTAACCCTTCATGGAAATGGCCGTTTCCCTGCATTTTGAGCATAATACCAATTCTTTTTTTCCAGCAAGGCTATCTCACGCAGCCCAGGATCCCAAGCCCTGCAGGTGCTCGGAGCGTCGCGGGAGGGCACCCAGCGCACGGGGATCCTTTCCCCACAGGATTCCCCGAGGCCAGTAGTGTAGAGCTGGGATTGGCCTTGCTCCCTGGGGCCTTTGCACTGTTTGCTCACAGAAAGGAGGTATTATCACCCGGGAGTAGGGAGGAAAAAAGAGGTCCCTGTTAGAAAGGAGTGAGTGCATCCTATCCCACGGGGCTGCCCACAAGAGGGGCCCTGGGGCTGTGTGGGGAGTTCCCCCCACTCACCCCTCTGCTCCCTCTCCCAACAAAATCCCATTGCAGGGGTTTGCCTCCATATTTCACATTTGGCAATTCCCCCCTCCCTGCGCATTTTCCCGATAAACCCTAAGCCTGGAGATTTTCAGGAATGTGACCGGCTGTCGCCTGTGAGCCCGTGTTGCCGTTGCAGGTGCTCTGAGCAGCGGGTTCACGATGACCTCCCGACCACCACCATCATCATGTGCTTCGTGGATGAAGTGTGGTCCACCCTCCTGCGCTCCGTTCACAGCGTCCTCAGCAGATCTCCTCCGCACCTGATTGAAGAAGTCATTTTGGTGGATGACTTCAGCACTAAAGGTAGGTGAAGCTTCTTCTACCTTTATGAAACTAATATAACTTGAGGCGAAAATACAATTTGTTCTCTGTAATTCAATTCTGAATAGTAGGAAGAAATTGCATTTTCTCCTTTCGATGTATTGAAGTGCAGCAAGCCTGTGCTGCTATCTTTCCAGATGAGGGGGATCAGAGGCCAGATGGGCACTGGGGGGTGGCTGTGGTGGATCGAGCTGCGGCTCTTGCCCAACACCGTGCTAGACTTTATCATTCACATCTCTCCCATCCCAGTTCACTCACTTAAACAGCTGCTACGTTTACAGCTGTGCATCACTAAGATGACACTCGTGCGCTGCTTTGCACATGTGCTGGAGGCTGGAGGAGGCACTGTGGTCCAGGGGCACCAGGGAGCTCGGTCCCACCCGACCCACGCATCTTCAGGGTGCCCTGGCTTGAGGGCTTGTGCATTTATAAAAGAGACACTGTCACCCTTCTCTGTGCAGTTTCCAGACGAGTGCCCCCATGTTTTCAGTGCTGGTGGCAGGGGAGGAATAGCGTGCACTTCCCAGGTTTCTCAGAGAATGGGGCAGTTGTAGTAAGAGCAGTGGTGAGCCGGGCATCTGCACGTGCACAGTGGCTTTGCATGCATGCTCACAGGCATTCCAGATGATATCGAACCTCTGCTTTGTAATGCTTTGGCTCTCTGCTGACTTCAGCCCTTAAAAAATTAGGAATGATGTAATTTTCCAGCTGCTGGTTCTTCAGGGAAAGTGCTGTCTCAGGCAAACTTCAGAGCTCATGCCACGCATACAAAGAGCCTACAGTGCAACAAGACAATAGGTGCAAAAAAGAGGAAAAAGACTCAGTTTGCTCATTTTTAAAATAATCATTAAAACACGTTCATACCATTACCCCTCAAAAGCATCTTTTCGAGTTTCCTCTTCATTTTCTCCCTGTGACTTCCCTTTGTATCTGCTCATTAGCCAGCGAACATCTGCAACTGAAACCTCGCGAGTGTGGGTGAATTACGGAGAGCTCTGCTCTGCGTTGCTGTAATCCAAGTAGCAGCAGCAATAACCTACAGCAAACGTGTCCGCAAATGTCTCACCTTTGGAGCCTTTCAAAGCTTTTAACGCTGCGCCCGCCCCCACCCGCAGCACCGCAGCAGAGGCTCCTGGGCTCCTCTGCCGGAGCAAAACCGCCCATGCACAGGGCTGCCCGGCGCTCGAGTCCCCCGAGCCACTTTTCTCACACCCTCTTTTTCGTGTGAGTTTACCACCAGCTGCCTCCACAGCCATGGGAAACCATGACAAAAGCAACCTGAAAAGTAGAGATGTGCCACAGCAAACCCTCCTGCATTTTAAACCCGGGCTGAGTCTTTACATGTGGTGCTTAATATCGAGAAATTTGTAGAGCACAAAAAAATATTTTTTTAGGCAAAGGAAAAAAATTTACAACCACATTTTAATTGCAATTGTAGTGCGATGAAGAAAAAAACCTTGGTTTTGAGTCTTTGAACAACCGTTCGATACCTGGTTTGGATCATGAACTACCCAAGTGAGGCCACTGGGATTTTGTTCATGGCCTGTCACCAAAAGCCCTGCACTTGCTGCTCTCCACTTTCCATGTCTCCTGAGTGCAGCGAGTCACTGCGCTCGCCCAGCACCGGGTACGGGTCCACCTTTGCTGCATCTGCCGGGTTTGTGCCGATGCAGAGCCCGGCAGCCTGCGGCGAGCCCCCAGGACCAAGCAGCAACACCCGTCACAGAGTACCAGGAGACACGTCTCCAACAAAGATTTTTAAACTTACCAACTTCAGCCTAAACCTGCTGGCACTGACACAGCTGGGAGTTTCACCGGAGAGCAGGCTCAGACTGTGATGCCGTGCACCAGAAGCCCTGCAGCTGTGCCCAGATGTTCGTGCCCCAGACCTGAGGACCCTGGTGTGTTTGGAGGTGCTTCCAGGGAAAATCTGCCCTCTGCTTTTCACCCTGGAGGTGGGTGCGAAATGGGTAAGTCAACCTCACCCTCCTCTTCTCTGCAGAGTACCTCAAGGAGAAGCTGGACAAATACATGTCGTGGTTCCCAAAAGTGAAGATCCTTCATCTCAAGGAGAGGCACGGTCTAATACGGGCCAGACTGGCGGGAGCGGAGATCGCCAAAGGTAGGACGAAAGCCATTTTACAGCCCTGTCTGGACCCCCCGAGAGGTGCCAATAAGCCGTCTCCAGCACTGAGCTTTAGTCCCCTCCTAAGGAACTCAGGGCATCTTCTATATGCAAAGCAGAAGGGTCTGACGAGGGGACGAGCTGCGGCTTGTCTGGCACCTCAGCACGGCCCTAGCAAGTGGCAGTCGGGATCGCCCGCCACGCCGCCCCAGCTCCACGGCCGGGCTGCGTCGGCACCGAAATGGCCGTTTCTGCCAGGAGCCGCTCCGCTTCACTCTGCAGGCCGCGATGGCGGAGCAGTGAAAACATGCTCTGGGCTATGGCTGGGAGGGTTTTGGGAGCCATGGAGGGCCGTGGCACCGTCAGCAGCACCCTGAGCCCACAGGGCACCCAGGGAGGCCGGCCGGCAGGGGATGGGGTGCCTGAGGCCTGATGCTGCCCTGGCCTCTGCCGCAGGCAGTGTCCTGACGTTCCTGGACTCACACGTGGAGTGCAATGTGGGGTGGCTGGAGCCGCTGCTGGAGAGGGTCCGCCTGAGCCGGGCCAAGGTTGCCTGCCCCGTCATCGAGGTCATCAGCGACAAGGACATGAGGTAAGGCAGCTCACGCCCCTGGGAAACCCAAAATCCACGCCGGCGGCTTGAGCAAAACCTCCTGCTGGAACCACCAACACATTAATTACAGGAAGACACAGGTCCAGACCTTCTAACTGGCCTTCAGCAGCGTTTCACAAGGGATACGTAACGTTGCTGTACACCAGAAATTAACATTAGCAGTGGACGTGGCCGCGTCGTTTATCGCACACACCTTTTCCCTTTTTCATGACTTTTAGTACATGAAGAAGATTCCTGATGAAATTTGTTAAAATCCTGTTTTAATTATGTACAGATATTCATCTTCACTCGTTAAGGGTGACATTTCAATCAGGAATGTGACTCAGAATTAGTCATCCCAATCTTTTCGCCATTTAGTTACATGACCGTGGACAACTTTCAGCGCGGGATTTTTACTTGGCCAATGAATTTTGGATGGAGGCAGATTCCACAAGAGGTCATCGAGAAAAATAAAATCAAGGAAACTGATATAATAAGGTAAAAAAAAGCAAATGTGAGAACTTTGTGAACTAACCTGTTCCTTTGTTAATAATTTAGCAGTAAAGGCTCCTTCGAGGCCAAATGTTCCTTTGCTTGTAAGGACAATAGAGGCAATGGTCCACCGTGGGCAATCACATCATCAGGCATGGGCAAGGCCCAGCAAGCCTTTCTCACCTCTTGCGGCACTGCTGGCGTTTTGCCGGTGCTGCCAGGGCCGGGGGAATGTACCACTGCATTTTTCGCCTTCCATGCCCCATTACGGCTTTCAGACTGGGTAAAGCCACCCAAATATCATCTATTTTAATGTTCCATCTGTCAGCCTGCCGTGAAGTGACAAATCGGGTGGTCCTTGCTGTCTCTGTAAGTGCGGGCTCAGGCACTGTCCCCGAGCATTTAGTAGCCTGCAGCTTCTCAATGATTCCCTCGTCAAAGCAAGGGGAAAGGGACGGGTGCTTCCCGACCAGCTGACGCACTGTGTGGTTCCTCTGTTCCCAGGTGCCCGGTCATGGCAGGTGGCCTGTTTTCCATCGATAAGAAGTATTTTTTTGAGCTGGGAATGTATGACCCAGGACTGGATGTTTGGGGAGGTGAAAACATGGAGATTTCATTCAAGGTATGCTGCTCTCACACGCCTGCATCCCCGCCAGCCTGGCTCAGGTGCTTGGGGCTCCGTCAGGGTCTCCCCAGGGCAGCCCCGTGCTGGAGACCCCGTCCCTCCCAGCAGTTTACTTACTTCTCTGCTCCTCTTCTGGCTTGCACAAAGCTGGCACCCGACATTTGCCCGTGTTTCTATCAAAGGAACCTCTGTTTCTCAGGTCTGGATGTGCGGGGGAGAGATTGAGATTGTTCCGTGCTCCAGAGTTGGGCACATTTTCAGGAACGACAATCCTTACTCCTTCCCGAAAGATCGGGTGAGAACAGTGGAGAGGAACTTGGCCCGCGTTGCAGAGGTCTGGCTGGACGAGTACAAGGAGTTATTCTACGGCCACGCTTACCACTTAGTCTTGAAAAACCTGGATGTCGGCGACCTGACTCAACAAATCCAACTGCGAAAGAAGCTTCAGTGCAAAAGCTTCAGGTGGTACCTGGAGAACGTCTACCCAGACCTGGAAGCTCCCCTGGTTAAAGCCAGCGGGCTGGTACGTACCCAAATGACTTGCTATCCCTCATTTAAACGTGTTTTCAGTGGCTGGCTAGGGACTTGGTAGCACCCCAGTACGCTTGTCTCTGAGTTGCTTCCCTGGCATTTGGTAACATTTTTGAATATTTAATATGTCACGGTGGTCTGGATTCCCCAGTATTTTTATAAAGAAATGGGTCACAATTCCAAGAGACTGTTTCCCGTTGAAGAGCCAGTTCAGTGTTTAAACACCAGGTGAGCTGCCCGTGCAACAGTCATGGTCAGGGGACGTGCCTCCAGGGCGGGAGGTCCGGCGTCCTCCCTACCCGCACAGCTTTTTGGCCACGGCAGGAGAGCGCGGTTCCTTTTCGGTGTGGGTTAGGGGTGCCTGGGCAGCGCAGGCAGGCCGGGGCAGGAGGCCGGGGCCCCGGGCGCAGGCAGGGTTTGTACCGGTGCGCTGTCGCCAGCAGAGCGCAGCAGAAATCTGCTTTTCCCCTGCCGCTGCCTGCAGACGGGCAAGGGCAGCAGCCTGGAAGAGTCCTGGCGTTTCTCCAGCGCAGGTGAAGCCTGCGCCTCGGGAGTGGGCAGAAAACACCTTAAAGTGCATTTTGGATTAAGTCCTCCGTCCTGCCTCCCCGCAAGCCCCTTGCTGGCTGGGTGGCTGCGGAGCGTAACCGGGTCAGGCTCCGTTTCTCCTCCACCATCCCTCCATCTCTGCGCCGGGGAACTTGTGGTGATCTCTGGCACAGGGTCCTACTTGTGCAGCTACTCCACGGGTGTTCGGTGTCACTTCACCAACATTAAAAGGCGAATTAAAGAAGAATAAAACGGGGGTTCTGAATTTGGCCCAGCCCTGAGCCTGAGCAGAATATCGGCTGCTGCTTTGAACATTCGGAAACCTCAAATATTCCTCCCAGAAAAGATACAACGTTGATTGCAATCTAGTTATAAAAGCAATAACAAAAGTAAAATACCTGGTTTGTCAGAAAAATTACAGCAATGCCCGGAATGAAAACTAAAGTGTTTGCTGCCTTCCCCACCCATCCCCATCTCCCAGTGCCGTGGCAGGAGAAGCACTTGCCAAGAGGAGGTGGCCAGGAGCCGGTGACCGCAGGGCTGGCACAGCCTGAGGAGCGAGAACAAGAACTGCCTGTCCCCTCCATCCCTGCGAAGGCGCACGGCCTCCAGTTACTGCACCGGCCCTTCTGGGAGCCAGGAAAAAGCACAGCAACCATTTGGCTGCGTTTCAGGCTTGTCTGTGGGCCAAGGGCGTAACGTGATGGTTCCCCGTCACAGGGATCCCTAGGGATCAAGTCAGGCTCTTGCCAGCCGCAGCCGGTGCGTTACTTTTATGATCGAGCCGTGAAGGTGTGGGAGGGCAGCTTTGCAGAGAGCACTGGGAGGGACGCCGTGCTTCGTCTGGGTGAGCTCTTGGCACTCGTGGAAAAGCTATAGGAAGCTGCTGGGTTCGGGCACTTCAGTGGATTAAGAGCTGTGCATCCATTTGGATGCGTCTGTCAGTCTCAGCGTGGCAGCAGCGGCCGTTCGCTGCTCAGAGCAGCTGTAAGCACAGGAACTGAGGGCTGTCTGCTGGGGCAGCCGCTCCGAAACTGTTGTATGGCTGAAAGCCCGTGTCCCTGCATTGCCTTCCAGAAAGCACCATTTGGATTAGACCGAAGGCTTCAGCGAAACATCGGCTTAAGTGACTTTTTTAAAAAAGAATTAGCAGTGATAGTCTTGAGAACATAAAAAATGGAATTTGCCTGAGAAATATTCACTTTTTCAGCTCTTTTGTTTCAATCAGAGCACTAAAACTTAATGTCAAATTCAGTGCAAAACAGTTAGACCATATAGAGAGACCTCTGTTTCAAGTGAACCAAAACTCCAGCTTTTCAGAGGTGTTTGTGAAACTTTTCAAGATGTTGCCTTGCTTTGTCCTGATTCAGGCCACCTGAATCGCTCTTTTATCTTCATTCTCAAAATTTAATAGGGCAGAAAATCTGTTTTTCAGCTAGCTCTGCAAATTCCAGCTGTGCTGAACACTATCCAAAGTTACTTGAAAACTGTTTTCTGAATAGCCTATTTGTTCACTGGGATTAATTCATAAATTCTTCAGAAATTTTGAAAGAAGGAGAAGGAATGGCATTTGCAAGGAATCGGAGATGTGAGCAGCCCCGACTGGAGCACCGCTGGGGTTGTCTGAGGAGCCAGTGCCGGTGCCTGCAGACTGTGGCCGACCAAGCCCTCTGCAGCCCTGAGTCCCTGCAGCGCGGTGGGCTTCAGCCCAGGAACCGGAGGGGGCTGGCAGAGCTCAGTCCAGTGTTTTCAGCTTTCCCATATAATCTGCCGTACTCCTGAGCGACCTCTGAACACGCCATACGAACAGCATTCAGAAAATGCCTCTTGCAGAGCATGCTCTGTGCGGACGCTGGCGCTGGCCGGTGGTGGGGGACAGCGGCAGGGAGAAAGAGCAAAGAGAAGCCGAGCGAAGGAGCAGAGCCTGATGCTCCCTCGCAGCAAGCTGGGGGCTGAATGCACACGCTCAGAGAAACGTCTGGTCTGCACTACCCAGGGTGCGGTGCTCACTCATCCTCTCTTTCTCCCCCCCAGCGTGAGGTAATGGCAGTTCAGTTAAAAATAGCTTAATGATGATGTTTCTGCCGGGGTTCCCCGCTTCGGGGGACCACGTCTGCGTTTCCCCGTTGATGACAGGTAACAAGACAACCAACCTGGATGGAAAACACGAAGAGTTACCTCGGGGTGAGGCACCGAGTGCATCACATGCAGTGATGGAGTCGTTCCCTGGGGCTGGCCGCGGGGTCCATGGCGGGCTGCCGGAGCCCCGGGCCCGGGGCCCCAGCTGGGAGGCGACCGGCTGGAGCCGAGATGGGACCACCAGGTGCTTGCGTCAGCTGCGCGCAGTGGCTGCTCGCCTCCTTCACAGTGTAGCAACGGGAAGGGATTCTGCAGGTGTTATTGTTGGGAGCTGTTGTTTTGGGGATTTGCAGAGCAGGAACATTAGCTATGCCCAAAAAAACCCCAAAAAGAATGTGTCTCATCCAGCCTTGAACGTTTCTGGAAAGGGCTAGTTTCAAGCTTCCCTCAGTAGAAAAACATATGTAGTGGACCACATGTGCATTTACACACCCCTCCAAGGACTATGACACATCATCTCTGCTTCACTCGGTTAAGTGGACAGTATTAATCAGTGTCCTGTGAATCCAGCAGCTTAACTGCAGTGTAACAGCCTCTCCTCTTTCTTGGGAATTTATGTCTAAATTTGCATTTTGGTGCTATTTTCTAGCTTGTTAACATAGCCATGGCAAGATGCATCACCGTGGAAAACACTACTCTAGCTTTTGAGGCGTGTGATGTTAACAACAAGGTAAGGATACCCTGCATACTGAGTATGTAATACTATTTTTAGTGCATGGCATAGAGCTCCTGTACCTCCCCATGGTGACCTGCCCTCTCCCCGGGAGCTAATGCCGGCCTTCCCACTGGGGGACACAGCCAAACGATGCCTGGGAGCAGCGAGGGGCAGGAATTGCCTCGGTTTGCAAAGCCTGTAGCCAAGCAACAACCCCAGAACCGGCAAATTCAGCTGGAATAGGAAAGTTTGATAAAGCCATGAGCCTGCTCGTGAAAATGGGGAGAAACATTTAAATACAAGCCCGTGTTTTGTGCTGTGCTGCTGCTGCAAGTCATCCAGCCACATTCTGTCACTAGATGGGAAGAAGCTGCTGTGGACAACCTCTCCTTTCCTTTACAGGCAGCATTTCTTAGGCAGTTCCCCGCTAATTGCTCACCACTGGCACAGGCCAGCGTGCAGGTCGGTGCCCTGTCGTGTACGGGGGTTTGTCCATTTGCACCCCACCACCAGGGTACGGCCAGGAGAGGTGGCAGGGCAGAGGAGTGCGCAGCAATCCCCTTTGGAGTCTGGGCTGCTGCGGCGGGAGTCGCTCCCAGAGCCTGCACCGAGGCTGTCCTGAGCTTTTTAGCTCTGCAAATCCATAGGAAAGGTGTTCCCATGGATCACGTCTTTCCCCATCCCCCGGTCCCGGGTGAGGGCAGGAGGAATGCGAGGAGAGCCTCTGCCAGCTGCTTGCCAGCCCCGAGCAGCCAGCCCCAGCGGGGGAAGGCGAGCGGGGGTCACAGCTCTCCCCGGTCTGTCCCCACAGAACCAAAAGTTCAACTACACCTGGCTGAGGCTGATCCAGCATGGAGAGCTCTGCATCGCCCATGCCGATGCTGCGGGAGCGCTGGGCCTGCGCCGCTGCGAGGGCCGGAGCCGCAGCCTGACGTGGCTGCACAGGTCGCTGGTCGCCTTCCAGCCGGAGCTGGTAAGTGAAGCGCTGGCAAGGGCAGCCCCCGCCGTGGCCTGTGATCCCTGGTTTGGATTAGCGTGCCGGCATGCAAACTGACGGGCAGCTGCAGCCCGGCGCAAGGCGCGGGGTGTACCCTGGCCCTCCGGTCTCAGCTTTGCCAAAGCCGTCTTTTCCCCTGAAGTTAAGTGTTGGTCCCCCAGTGCCGCTGCCTTTCCTCCTGGGGGTAGCGATGCACGCCCTTGCCATTGGGTCGCATCGGTCCAAGTGACGTGCAGCCCGACGCCACATGCCAGGGGGCTGGGGAGACGCTGGTCATGCCGAGGCATTCGCTCTGGCAGCGCTCTGCCGCTGCCTGCACGGCAGTAACAAAACGTCCCCATTTTACATAGAAACCATCAATAGCACTTACATGGAGATTACTTGATACTGATTGGCATTCAGCCCATAGTGGTTTTTTAACAGAAAGCATTTATGAAAAGGAAAAGAACAGATACTTACATTTATTACCTGCACTGCAAAAAGCAAGACAGTCCCGACTGTGTCTCTGTCAGCCTGGTGTAAGCAGTTGTCCAAAATGCTATGAAATGGCATACTTTAAGAAAGAAATAATCTTAATTTAAGAAAGAAAAAATGTAGCTAAGTTATACACTCATCATATCGACAAGCTCCCATTCCTCTTCAGTCTGAAAAAATAAAACTTGCAAAGCCAGAATGCTGCAGTGCCAAGGCTCACAAAGGCCAGGGTATTTTGTGAAAAATACATGAAAATTGTCATCCACTTAGGAGTCCAGACAGCATTATCAGCGCACAGGCAATTTCTGTTACCTGTTCCAGCCTGAGCTCACCTCGAGCCGTGAGTTAGATGTATTTGGTGGTCCCCGCCGGAACGGGGGGCTGGGTATGGTCAGCCACTCCCAGCCGCGGCACGGGACGGGGTCTGGCCGCCCGAAGGCATGGGCACCAACACGCCCCATGGGGACAGGCAGCCTCAGTCAATATGGTTCCATCAGCCTTTACCGGTGCCAGCAATAAGTCTGAAGAACAGCTCAATGGCTGGTGAATGCTGACTGAAGGGATTACAATCCTTTACCTTCTTCTGATGTCACGGTCATTGTGTCATATTAATGATGTGAAGTGCATTTACTATGTGCACAAAGATCCAACTTTTGCCCAGACAGCACTCTACCTGTCATTTCAGGAGTATTTCATCTAGGTATTAACCAAATGATCGTAAGAAACACTGCAATGCTAGGTGGTGGCACGGAAATGTCCCTTACCTTTGGCAGCACTTGCAGCATCGCCTTGCTGGCTGCATGGGTTAAGTAGATAAAGCCGAGTAGATGTGAAAAGCAAAAGGATGGAGATCAGACTCTTCATTCTTTCATAATCCAATTTACTGCCCCGGCATTTGAACTTCAGTGCTGAATTACCTAACACCCTTTTCAGCGCAGTAAATGTGCTTTGAGTTCATCAGCCGAGAAACTCAAAAATACGAAAATCGGTCTCCTGCCGTACGTTCCCCTGTTTTGCAAATACCGTCTGGAGTGATTTTCTTTGCATGGTAATTACCACTCGGACAGCAAGAGAACTAATTTTTCCATTTCCAGTGAACGAAAAGCCACGAAGCACAGGAGGTATGGTCTGATCCTGGCTCAGCAATATGTGCAGGCTTTGGATCCCACCCAAAAGTCCCTGTAAGTCAGCAAAGAGATCTCACGTATTAGGAAAATGCAAAAAAAAAAGGCACACCATAAAGAATCACACTTTCTCAGTGGAAAAACAGAGCACCTTACAGCAGCTGCTGCCTGAGTCCCGCTACCTAAAGCCCTCTCTCTCTCCCCTGCAGACGGACCACATCGTCTCAGAGCACCTCCAGCAGCTGGCGTGCTTGGAAGTGGATCCCTCTCACAAAGCCCTGAGGGTAAATGCCTGTGACTCCGCAAATCCTTATCAAAAGTGGCAGTTTGGCAATTACTATGCAGACTGAAGGGAACACAGTTGATCCACAAATGCTGTGTTTTCATCTCGTGAATTCAGCAAGGACATCTGTGTGACTTATGGCAGCAATTACAAAACTGGAAGTTCATTTCCAAATGATAATTGAAATCCGTAATTTAAACCAGCGTATTGAGAGATCAGAATACCAAGAACAGCACATCTGGTTTAACGATGTCTGAAACAGATAGGCTTGTTTTTCCCTCACTGTGGGAGACTTTGGCAAAAACTCAAATAATTTTCTGTATTATTAAATGGAAATATTTTCTGAAGTCCCCCATCCTACTGTAAGCAAACCTTCATCAGTTCCCCCTAGACAACAGCATAAGCTACAGAAATACTTCTGGGGCTCTGTAGTCTGCTTATTCTCAGGCTGCTTATTCTTCCACAGCCTGAGAAAATGGAAGTTTATTGACCAACGCATTAAAAAAATCCATCCGACATGCCCATGCTGGGTCTGGCCACAGGATCCTGCCCTGTGGGACCCATTGCCTCTGACAGATGAGTATCAGGGTTCCATTAGGAATCGATTGCTTATCGAAAAAGCCTTCTTTTAATAATGGCAGGCAAATGTGGGTCAATAAGCCACCCAGCAGACGAGGTAAACCGGGAGCTGCAGAAGAAGCAACGAGCACGCCTTGCCCGCGCCCTGTGGACAGCGGGGACACGTGTGCCTTGCTTTGCTTGGAGGTGAGAGGAGCCACCAGGGAGGTGAACCGGCGGCTTATCCTGCTTCTTGCCAGCGGCAGGCACCAGAGGCCAGCCGGGGAGCACCTCGTCCCAGGGCGGCCGGGCTGTCCCCACCGTGGGCCCGCCAGGGCCCCAGCCCGGCCCCCCAGCCATGTCCCTGAGCCCCCATGGCCTTTTAGGCGTTTCCCCAGGACCGCTGCCGATTTCCTCGGCCCCCGGCTGGCCAGGGCATTGGGTCGCGCTGGTTCCTGTGCCGGAGCCTGGTGATGCTCGGTGTGGCCCCAAGCAGGGTGGCTCACCTTGCTCCTGCCAGGGCTTTCCCAAGGGAAGCTTCACCTGCCGGCAGTGCGGGCCAGGCAGCTCTCCCCATCGCGACGTCCCCCCACCATGGGTGGAAGGAGGGCAGAGACCTCCAGCAGGATGTCTCACAACCCAAAACTTCTACCCGCTGGCGCTCAGGATGGATGAAAACACCCACTGAAGTCAGTGAGGGCTTTTCCTCAAAAAGGGCTGCAGAACACAAGTGTGTGTGCGTGCACACGCGTGTGTGTGTGTGTGTACACCTCTTTCACAGGGACCATTGCAGGGGTGAATGCAGCACGATGAGACATCGCCCGGCACCAGCCGCCACACAGCCCGGGCTGCACGGGGTGGCCAGGCTCCGCACACCAAAAGTCTCTCTGAACTTACCGTCACAGGCACATTTTTTCCTTACTGTGAAACATTTTATCTCTAAAAGCCATCACCAGTTTTTGAAGGGACAGATTTGATAGCAGACTAAATTGAGCCGTGACAGGACAGTGAGATCGAAGATATGTATCACCAGTGCATCCCAGGCAGGATTTCTTCCCCCGTTTCTGTTAGGAAGCCCCCATTGTGGGAGGCTGCTCCCCGTACAGCTGCGGTGTTGCTGGGGGAAGGTAGCGCTTCTCCTCCTGCCCCGCTGCCCTGCACTGGGGCGAGGGCCTTCTCCCGCACAAGCCGTTGGGGACACGCAGGGCTGAGCATCGCACTCGATTCTCACGCCGCCGTGCCCCCCAGCCGAGCCTCCACCATCCCACGCTCACAAAATGCCTCGCACCTCTCCTTTGATTTTTCAGGAGGCCTCGGCATAACCTTACCTCTCACGTGGTGAATCAATGCTGACAGCGTCTGACAGGCTGAGTCTGCCAAAATATTGACTGGCCCGACAGATTTTCCCAGTTGGCTCCTATTCCAACTGTCTTCCGATTTCCTCTCTCCTTTAGTGCAGCTAGCCTGCAGCCACTATCAGAAAAATGACACAGATGTTGTTTGTGCAGTCATCTTTTATCAGGAGCATGAGTTTCATCAAATTCTGTTTGCTGACATTCAGTCACTTGTCACTGAGTAGGCACCAAACGGTCATATGTCACGGTCACATCCCATCGCCACGCTTGTCACTTGCACTCTGATTCCCCATTTGTGTAAACGCTCGCTTCCATGTTGGCATCTTTGCCTTAAAGACTGGAGCGTGCCTTCGGGGCTGCTGGCAGCGAGCTGCGGCCCTGCTGTCACACAATATTGAGAAGCATTCAGATTGTACCAGTCAGCCCAGGCTGCCAGGAACGAGAGCGTTCGTTTCCGACACGCTCGGCAGACGTGGCAATAGGCGCCTCGCTCCTCCCCGGCGAGCTGCCCGCTCCTTTCGCCATCTCCACTGACGGCGCCTGGGCGCGCATCGCACCCGAGGGCAGTAGGCGGTTTTGGGACCGTGGAGGCTTTGTGGGCGTCGAGGAAAGGCAGGAAGGCAGCGTGGCTGGGCGCCGCTCGGGCTGGGGACGGGAGCTGCCGTCATCCCCCGTGTCGGCAATGGGAAACAGGCGCAGCTTTTCCGAACGAGAAGAAATGCCTCCTGCACTGTGGTAGGGAGGGACAGGGCACGTCGTGCTGCGCTTCCGTCAGTAAGTACCCTGAATCGAAGCGGCCACAGTTGGAGGCCCCATTTAGTTTGTTTAAAAAAAAAAGTTTAGAAGAAGGGAATAAATGATAATAGATGAAGCTTCTTCCTCTGAGCTCTGTGTGTTAACTCCGTTCCTGGCTGACTTGGACCCTTTCTAAGGTGCTCTCCTGCCTGAGTTACTGCCAGGTTGAACCGCAAAACATCATCCCAGAAAGAACCTTTAAACCACCGATTTCCCCTGATTTATGGCTGTGCTTTGGACTCTCATTTAGTGCGCTATTAGTGCAGGCAGTGGCAATACCCAGAGCTGGCTGCTGTGCCCTGCAGCTGCTGCAGATGTTGTGGCAACTGGCAAGTTTCCACCAAAGTGGTTTAATTCTCATTCAAGTTCAGCGTACAGCGCTGCTAGAAACAGCTCCCAGAGCAGAGCCAGCACCACACGGCACTGTCCAGAGAGGGTGGAAAGGCGTCACGACCCTCCAAAAGGGTCCACCTCTTACTTAACCTGCCATCAGCCCTCATCTGGCACTGTGGAAACGGAGAGAAATTACTTTCAGGCTAAGGCCGGGCCTGTAGCTCCTGCGTCCTAGAGCAGCGCGTCCGAATCAGCATCCCCACCAGCTTTTGTGCCTGAAAATGCCTCTGCTCCAAGGGGCAAATTTTCAGGTCTTTGAGTGTCTTTTCCCCTCGCGCGCCAAGCAGACAGCTCTCTGCCCGGCCCCTCCACGCACCTCATCCGACCCACTGACCATGGTTTTGGCCAGATGCAGACCCTGCCCTGTCCTGCCACGTCTGACCATGGATCCCCAGCCCAGGCAGTGCCCCGGAGCAGGCCGGCGGTGCTGCCTGCGAGCTGCCTGCAGCACAGAGGATGAGCGTACCGTGGGAGAGCGCAAGCCGCGGCTTCTGCCCGTTTCTTGCCTGTACACCCCTTGATCTCCGTGTTGCACCCACCCACCCTGAGGGTTAGGCAAGAGGTGGCGTGTTTGTAGGAAAGGCCCTCAGGCCACTAAAGCATCCCAGGACTTTTAATTTTATTTTTCCATCGACCAAGGAAAGCAAGAGAGGGAGTTGCAGTTCTCAGCTGATCAAACACTGCTTTCCAAGGAAGGTAAAAAACCCACTCCAAGCTTCTTGAAAGTCCCGGCGAGACGCCACACTTAGCTGGAACCCGACCCCACAGTCAGTACACCAAGCATCTCATCCCTGCGCTTGCCCAAAAAGTCTGGAAACTGTATTTTAACTGTCACCTAGGGTATAAGCGAAATATTAAAAACTGTTAGACAGACGTATGATAAAAAGAGAAAGAAATCTGCCTTTTGCTAAAGCTAGCACGGGGCCCGGCCAGCCCGTGCAGCCATGTGAGAGAGCAGGAGGGTGTCCGGCTGGCCAGCAAAAGGGTTGATCCTCGTGCCCGGGCGCTGCGGACTCGGCCAGACGATTCCCCAGAGGAGATGGGAATCGTGACGGCAAATGGCTGGGCCACGAAATACTGCTGCCTCTCCTGCTACCACCCTGCTCACCCCGGGAGAGCATGGGGAAGTATTTGAACTCTGGCTTTCCGTCCCATCAAACCTCTGAACTTCCACAAGTGTCTGCGCTGTTCTGGGACTTCCCCCCACTCAGCCCCACTGCTGACCCCTCCTCCCTCTTCAAAGACGACCCGCTACAGCAGCCTATGCCTTTCGCTGCGGTGTGGATGGCTTTTCCTGGCGTCTCACGCTGCTGAAAGCCAGGTGCATCACCAGCATGAGCCGGGCGTTCGCACCCCACCTTGTCCAGCCTCAGCGGCTTTTCCGAAGCCGGGCACGAGCACCTGTGTGTCCTGTTGACCCCGATGGGCAGGGGCAGATACTGCCCATCAGCCCCCGGCCTCACCTCAATATAATGCCTTAAAACCTCCAGCTTCTCAGCAATGCACAAAGTTGCTCATTTAGCTCTGATTTTCATTTCGCTTTGGGGTTTTGCTGTTTTCTTCCCTATTGCATTTGCTAATTGCAGTAAAGCAAATTTGTCATTGACATTCTGAAGTGCAAATCGGGCCGGACGGCGTGGCGGGAAGGCGGTGGTCACCTGCCCCACCTCGGTGGACGTGCAGATACTTGAAGCTGAGGCTGGTCAGCTTGGAGCAGCGCTTTGCCACCCACAGCCTCAGCAAGTCACCGAAAGGCCAGGCAATGGTCACATCTTCAAGAGAAATGTGCTGCTCTTACAGGAACCGCTGCAAGAGGAGCAATGGGGGGGGGCAGCTGCCAGCAGGCAAACAAACCCACAGTATAAATTCATACAAGCAAACCTCTGAACTTCCACAAACCAAAGCGCGAATAAACAAGTCTGAATAGCACAATGAGGGCTGTGTCTGGTTTGTACAATACAGAATTGCCATTTATTATTTTCGCATTGCCAATAAATAATTGCCTTTATATAGAACAAGAAAAGTCAAAACAATATCCAGTGCTGCTGGAGATGTAAAACTTATCCTTAAAAAAGTGCTTATGGCTGAAGGAGGCCACTGCAACCGAAGTCGGAGTCTAACTTTGTTCTTGCCTCCTCTCCCTTTGTCAGCTGCTCTCAACTTTCCCAGATGCTTTCTGGGATGACATTTGCAAAGCTTAGTCCCAGCTCAAGACAAACCTGTCTGTAAAATAGTTTTAAAAAAGACTGCATCAGCAATACTGTAGTTACACAAAGGTTTTTAAAAATGAAGAAGGGTTGTGTTCAGATGACACAAAACCAAATTATGCATAAAACTTGCCTGGCTTTGACAAAAAAATCTGTAAAATTTTGCGTCTAAACTTAGCGTGAAAATTGAGAAGACATGTAAGAGAGGCTAAACTGGTGGCATTCGGAAAATACAGGTTTCTGGTAGTGGCCAGTTTTGCCAGGTGAACACCAAAGCACACACACAGACAGCTGCCATGCACCGTACGCACAATGTGTAAGCCGCTGCCCTCCAGCCTGGCCCAGACCCCAGCTGTGCCGCTGTGGATGGCACCAGTCGCTGGTACCACCTCCCCAAAGGCACCTCTGCCCGGGCTGGCGGGGTCGGGCACCGTGGCCGGCCACCTCTGACAGCGCTGCCCGCGGCCGCACGGGACGGCTGCCCCTGGGCTGGGGGGGGGGCTCCAGCGGGCGG